TCCCTTCTATACAGTCTGAATAAATAATGTTCCAAACATCACCACAGGAAAATACAGTACAGTAAAGTAAAACCACACACAAGATGCGGAATCATGGTGCGATTCTCTCTAAAGGCAAAGAAAAAAAACTCGTCCATAATGCTGCCTCAGCAAGTCAGCAGCAGCACATGATGCGCCTGTATTTTGAGCCCGCGCTTATATGCACTGCACTGAAGCATTGACGTGCGGTTCGCGGGTTCACATGACGCACGTGTCCCCCCACCGTCTTACGCTTGCTTCCATCTTCTCACAAAATCAGTCTGCGCGAACAAAGGCATCATCCTGCGGGGAAAATGCGCGGACATCGCTCCCCAGCACCACAGCACCTGATGGGATGGAACATATCTTTATTCCGCTTCCTTTCCAGCCTGAAATAATGATGGTTTGTCATATTTAGGTTGGTCCAGTCAAAACTTCATTTTGTTATGGATTACAGTACATACAGGTGGTACCTTGTAATTTTACTCTAATCCATTGCCAAACTAGGGCCAAATTGCAAATCAGTTGAATTGCAAGACACTCCATCAAACTCAAAATATAAGTATAAAACTGTGAAAAAAATGGAAAAATCTGGTCAAATTCTGGGACAAGGGTTGAATTGCAAGTCAACCTCCCCACAAATTCAATCATCAAATTGCAGGAGGTCAAATTGCAAGGTACCATGCTGCATAACACAATAATAAAAACTGTGCCATAGAAGGCAAGTTTCAAATTCAACAATACATCTGACAACATTTGTGCAATAGACCTTGTGCTAAACAGATTTTTGCAGAACAGACTACCCTCTGAAGTCAGTTGTTCCTCCTGCATAACAGACAGATATATCTCCAAAAAAGAGTTCAGTCTGTAGAAGTCTGTGTCACCAGTGGACATGAGTCCCTCACAACCCCCCTAGCTTCCAAACTGAATTTGCATACCTGACTTTCCACATAACAGACTAGGCTGTTGCATGAATTAAGTCCATTGTGTGAGCTCAACTGTATGTAACACACACATGGGAGTTTGATGTGCACCTGTTTCTTGGCAGGAAATTTGCCAAAAAATGTATCCTCCTTAAGATTCGCACCCCAGTTTCATATATGGTAGAAAATCAAATTTTAAATAATTATATTGTTTAACAAAATAATCTCATAAATACAGTAATATAAGAAGATGCCGTATGTTAACTGAAATTTTAGCTAGACAGGATTCCCTGTTCATTATTGGCACCTACAGACTAATTACTCGAGGTCCTCATGACTAATTTCTTTTTTTTTCGCTCCAGAGAATGTATACCAGCATACCAGGGGCATTTCCCCCTCAAAATCAAGAAGAAAAAAGTGGGTGCGCCTCGACATCATAGGTGGGTTAAAAAAATCGTTAAATTTTTGATGGACCTCATATGTGATTCCAACAAAGTACTTCCGGCCTATTTCCACAGACAATTACTGTAATTCAAAAAATTGAAATGATGAAAACTAAACATTCAATTTGACCAGCGAAATGTAAATTCCGATGCATTGCTTTTAAAAATATTTTAATTTTCAGCCATCTCTGAAAATTATCTGGGGTGTGCGTTTTACTTGGGAAAAAATTTTATTTAAATTTTACGTTGAAAAATCTGGGTGCGAGCCTTACTTGAGGGCAAATTTATAGCGTACTTGGGTGCATACAGTCCGAAAAGATAATGTTCCAAACATCACCACAGGAAAATACATCAGTAAAGTAAAACCACACACGAGATGTCATAAATTCAAGAAGTCATGAATTCCGATTCCAATCGTCGGCAACTTGGCGTAATTTGAGAAAAGGGTTTGCAAAATTCATCATTTTTTTGAATCCCATGTATCATATGTTTAACAAAGAATCCAATTTTCGAATGCAAGTTACAGTAAGATGCCTATTTGCTGAAGTAAATTTGACTGCTGGATGATTATGGAAAACTGAGCAGGCATAAAATGTGGCCTGTGAGAATCCCACCATAGGGTGGGTGACCTCGAAGCAAAAAAGCGAAGACGTCACTGACATTCGCAGCAGCATAAGCGAAAATGGTGGCCAGCTGCCTCTCCATCTGCCATAATAATTACCAGCAAGCCAGTACAGTAATAACCATGAGTTTCCGCCTACAACTTGGAAAAAAAAGCCGATTTATTCTTACTTTAGCGACATCTACACCAAACAAAGTATGCGACATTTGCACCCAAAGAAGAAGAAACGGAGCAGAGGGAGGCATTATTGTGTTGAAGGAATCGCGGTTAGTTGTAATCCAATAGTTATTTATCTCTCCTCAACCATTGACACCAACCCACACCTCACCGACGTTGATCTGGAAAAATATCATCTGCATTTTATAATGTAATTCTATACACGTCATTTTATTTTTTTCCCAGGAGGACCATTATTCAGTTGAACAGTTCACATTGAACTAAGAATTGTGAATAGAAGATGCATAACGAATTAACGATTGACGCAAAATAGTTCTAACTCCATACTGTATTTCGAAGAAGGAATTTGATCGAGTGCCAAAATTAGTTGACCTATCCACTCGGTTGCAGAAGAGGTTCCTGGCAATTTTTCTTCATGTATCAGTATAATATCTACTTTCCAGCATAATCAGACCCACAATAACATCGCGCGAATTCTGTGCAAGCCAGGGGCACGAATAAAAAAAATCGCCTTCACAGGGTTCATTTGATCTTCTGGGTTCCACGTACGTCTCGGGTTCGCACATTGGAAGTGCCCTGATGTGCATCTGTGTATGATGATTCGATCTGATGGCAGTTCTCTATTTGTCTCGACTTAGTTTGGTTTTGACACATATCTTATGAAGATTATAAGAGTGCCTAAATTGTGAAAGGCTTCATGCGTTTCTCCAATGATTATCAAAGATTCATGATGACTCACTTATGACAAGAGCAATCTTTTGTGGAATTCAGTGTAATATCATTGATACACAGTGATCAGTATTAAATTAATCGTTCTTCTGGACTTAACTAGAGATATAAATAAACACACCAGCGAGTAAAGCAACAGTTTGTTAAAATCCGTTTTGCGCAACACTTTTGAATAAAAATATCATATTTGCTCAGGATTCGGATTTTAATCTGTGCCAACTGCCAATTGAATTGAGGATGAATCTTTGCCATAACTTCAGTATTTCGTAAAGCATTTCCTGGCGAACTAATGCACCTGCTGAAAATAAATAAGCCAAATACTGCAAATGCCTTCATTATGTATGCTTCCTAAAAATTGTGAAAAAAATGATCGTGAAAAAATAATGTTCCGACAAACGAAAATCTTGAAGATATTTCACTTGAAATCAATTAGCTAACAGATATGCTGATAGTGGACACGAATAATATGAATAACTGTTTCCACAAAAAATTAAAATTGTCTTCCATTCAATTTTCAGTGATAGCGCTTGCTGTTCGTTTATTTAAAAAGAAACGCGGACATCAATAAACTGTCAACTGGATAAAAATTTCAATATAAAAAATACAAACTGAAGAATATGGTTATCCTAGGTTTTTTTCAGTCATGAATGTTGCGGAGGCCTTGGAATTTTATTTCTTGATTGAAGTGCCTTTCCAAACATCACCACAGGAAAATACATCAGTAAAGTAAAACCACACACGAGATGTCATAAATTCAAGAAGTCATGAATTCCGATTCCAATCGTCGGCAACTTGGCGTAATTTGAGAAAAGGGTTTGCAAAATTCATCATTTTTTTGAATCCCATGTATCATATGTTTAACAAAGAATCCAATTTTCGAAAGCAAGTTACAGTAAGATGCCAATTTACTGAAGTAAATTTGACTGCTGGATGATTATGGAAAACTGAGCAGGCATAAAATAAGTCCTGTGAGAATCCCACCATAGGGTGGGTGACCTCGAAGCAAAAAAGCGAAGACGTCACTGACATTCGCAGCAGCATAAGAGAAAATGGTGGCCAGCTGCCTCTCCATCTGCCATAATAATTACCAGCAAGCCAGTAATAACCATGAGTTTCCGCCTACAACTTGAAAAAAAAAGCCGATTCATTTTTATTTTAGCGACATCTATGTGGTGCATTGACCACAAAGACGAATAAGTTAGATGATAAATTAGGCTGAAAGGTAAATTTGATATGAATAAAACACGTACGCCGCCGGGGACTCGGCAGGGAGCCTTTCGGTGAGGTCTCCAAAANAGGTAAATTTGATATGAATAAAACACGTACGCCGCCGGGGACTCGGCAGGGAGCCTTTCGGTGAGGTCTCCAAAAGAAAAGCGGTTCGAAATATATTTCAGAACAAATAATCAACACTGACAAAATGAGATGTTTGCACTTTGCGAGGTGAATTGAGACTGTAATGTAAATTAGTGAGAGGGGGAAAAATGGCGAAACGATTGGAATTCCACACTGGAATTCCAACGTGGAGTTTTTCTGCGGGCGACGGACGGGAGAGGCGGCTTGCGCCACCTATCCCTTACAATCTACACCAAACAAAGTATGCGACATTTGCACCCAAAGAAGGGAAAAAGGAGCAGAGGGAGGCATTATTGTGTTGAAGGAATCGCGTTTAGTTGTAATCTGATAGTTATTTATCTCACCTCAACCATTGACACCAATCCACACCGCACCGATGTTGATCTGGAAAAATATCATCTGTATTTTCTAATTTAATTCTATGCACGTCATTTCATTTTTTCCCAGGAGGACCATTATTCAGTTAAACAGTTCAAATTGAACTAAGAATTGTGTAGAGAAGATGCATAGCGATTGAGGCAAAATAGTTCTAACTCCATACTGTATTTCGAAGAAGGAATTTGATCGAGTGCCTAAATAAGTTGACCTATTCAATCGGTTGCAGAAGAGGTTCCTGGCAATTTTTCTTCATGTATCAGTATAATATCTACTTTCCAGCATAATCAGACCCACAATAACATCGCGCGAATTCTGTGCAAGCCAGGGGCACGAATAAAAAAAAACGAATCCCCATGTTTTTCTCAAAATCCATTTCATTTTCTTGTCCCACCCGTATTTCCAAAGGAGAAAACTCCAATAAAAACCGCGCGCTTTTGTTTAATTTGTCCATCATCGCCCAACTCCTGGTGGGCATGCACAGGAGACTTATTGATGACACCACTGACGCGTAGTTGGCATGAGAGTGACACCTATGAAACTTGTTATGACGTGTGACATGCAGTGTGCGAGATCCTGCCGCGCCAAGGTGTGCGCTGCACGCCGACTTGCGAGCGCGCGACGCTCACCGTTTCCTAGAGTCGCCTGAAGTTGGGGGGCAGTACGGAACTATTGTATATGGTCACAAAGTTCGAAAATCGGAAACGTGAACGACTGATCGATGAGCGCATGATTCCTAGATTCAGCAATTTGCCGTTTGTTGTACAATGCCCAGAGCGTCTCTCTTCTTTCGAGAACAATCACCACAAAGAAAAGCTTCACTCGAGAAGCCGCAATTTCCAAAACCGGGACAAGAAACGCAATGGGTTTTCTTCCTAGTGCCCCATAGGAAAAATGGCTTTCCTTCGCAAAATCCGACAACGGATGCGAATCCACGCTTGAGTTTATCATTGCTGCACAGCTTACACTTCAGTACGGGAGTAGCAGACTTCAGCAGAACATTCTTTTGATGACTATTAGAAGACAACAAGAGATCTCTCAAAGTTCCATCGACAAAATGACCACAATACGGCGAGACGTCTCTGCACATGACCAAGTCCAATTCCTCGGGGTTTCCTCGAATCCTGATTGCCCCTCTCATCATCGCCGCTCGAATGCAGGAATTGGAGTTTTCCGGGTCGTCGATTCCAATCCTGTGTATCAGGTCATGAACCTCGGCACAGGAAAGGAAACCATGATGAAGGGACCGTTTGCTGCACGGATTTGACCTTTTGTTCACGGCTTTCCGGCATGATTTCACGCAACGCCTTCTTTTCTTCACCATAATGACGGGTTCAGCAACAACCTGGTTCTTTTCAAAGTCCATTGAAATATCTTCATTTGCGGGACTGGATTGTTCTCTGCTAATCACACAGCAAATGCAATTCAAAATTTTTAAATAATAACTGTGGATATATCGTCTAATTTTCCTTACATCGGCTGCTCCGTCGCATCTTCAAGCGATTCAGTATCCCCCATAGTTGGTTTTTGCTCCATGTCTGAAGATTAAATCCGCTTGAATAAATTAACAGTCGTGTCTGCAGCTGCTGCTATACGATGCGAAAAAGCTGTGCTGACGTATGTTAATTTCAACACAGCACTTTTGTGACATTTTTGGCGCCTTCACAGGGTTCATTTGATCTTCTGGGTTCCACGTACGTCTCGGGTTCGCACATTGGAAGTGCCCTGATGTGCATCTGTGTATGATGATTCGATCTGATGGCAGTTCTCTATTTGTCTCGACTTAGTTTGGTTTTGACACATATCTTATGAAGATTATAAGAGTGCCTAAATTGTGAAAGGCTTCATGCGTTTCTCCAATGATTATCAAAGATTCATGATGACTCACTTATGACAAGAGCAATCTTTTGTGGAATTCAGTGTAATATCATTGATACACAGTGATCAGTATTAAATTAATCGTTCTTCTGGACTTAACTAGAGATATAAATAAACACACCAGCGAGTAAAGCAACAGTTTGTTAAAATCCGTTTTGCGCAACACTTTTGAATAAAAATATCATATTTGCTCAGGATTCGGATTTTAATCTGTGCCAACTGCCAATTGAATTGAGGATGAATCTTTGCCATAACTTCAGTATTTCGTAAAGCATTTCCTGGCGAACTAATGCACCTGCTGAAAATAAATAAGCCAAATACTGCAAATGCCTTCATTATGTATGCTTCCTAAAAATTGTGAAAAAAATGATCGTGAAAAAATAATGTTCCGACAAACGAAAATCTTGAAGATATTTCACTTGAAATCAATTAGCTAACAGATATGCTGATAGTGGACACGAATAATATGAATAACTGTTTCCACAAAAAATTAAAATTGTCTTCCATTCAATTTTCAGTGATAGCGCTTGCTGTTCGTTTATTTAAAAAGAAACGCGGACATCAATAAACTGTCAACTGGATAAAAATTTCAATATAAAAAATACAAACTGAAGAATATGGTTATCCTAGGTTTTTTTCAGTCATGAATGTTGCGGAGGCCTTGGAATTTTATTTCTTGATTGAAGTGCCTGAAATCGGAAGCGTCAAGCCTTCAGTTATTTTCTCTATATTCATTCTGCCAAAAAATATCATGTGATAATCCAAATTTTCTTAACTAAAATACACTCCATCTGAAGAAATGCCAAATTTCAACCTTTATTGCTCGTCTGCCGTATTTTGTGCAGTACTGTATATCACCCCTTAAAATCCTGTAAAAAACGTGAGCCAGAAATTATCTCGACCCCTTTTCGGCGACTCCCCCCCCCTCGAAAATGTGCAAAAATGGGGCATTATGTAGAAAAGGAGGAAGTTCCCGGACGACATTATGCGACCACTATTATACTCTGGCAGCTCTGGCCTCTTGGTTATGTTTGCAGACGGTTATCAGCGAGTAAACAATGCTTTCTTATTCGGAGTTTTTCCCACGCTGGCGAATTATGCTTGCAACGTCATCACAGCCGGCCCGCACTTCGAGGCTGCGGGCACACATCAGCATGGGCCCCAAGTTTGCGTAGGGCAGCCGTCTTCGACGTCGAGTGCCCGAAACTTTTCTGCATTGCGAGAACAGAAACCGAGGGATATTGCTTGATTCGGTGAAAAAAAAAAAATCATTCCTGTTCAATAAACGAGGAAGACAAATTACGGAATTAATTAAAAAATAGACAACTTTCAACATTATTATCTGGAAATCGTGAAAATCCTTTCTTCTTCGTTGTTTTTGTTCTATAGCTCTGTGGATTAATAATCATGTTGTTACGGTGTTGTACTGTACGTGTGTTGGCACCTGATGAGTTATATTCCGGAAATCGATCCCCTCTAAAATGAAAATTCCGGTTTTACGCCGGCCAGCAATATAATATAATTTAACAGGGGTTTAGTTAGAACAATGCATCAAACCTGAAAATATAAGTTGAAAAAAGATTTCGGAGAAAGCGGCTTTTTTTTAAAGATCTTGTGTGACACTAGATTGCGCTGAACTTGTGAAAAAGACGCAGATTTAAATTAGTGCTAAAAATGCCTTCTTTATGAAAGCCCAGGTGCAATGTTTTAAGCGAAGAATGCTCAGGTGGATTTTATAAAATCAAGAAATAAAGATTTTCTCGATGTAAGACAGTATTGTCTAGTGGTCTAATGCAAAGTTCTGAAATTATTTGCAAGAAGCACAGTATATACAGTAGTTGTTTGGGGCCACATTTCGAATACTTTATTTCATTGGCATATTGAGTGACATTTGAATCAAATTCATTTTCGAGATTCACTGTTTGGAATAATAAAAACTTATCTTTCAAAGATGATGCAAATTTTTAGAAAACTTCTGCGGAATTGGAAGAACAAGACACTTGATGAGGTACAAGGTTACAGTAGTTTCATTTTTGCATAAAATTATTTCGGTTGGAATCAGAAAAAAAAATGACCATCAACCCTTCTTTATACAGTGACGATTATAACATGTTAAATTAGCATGTTGCATTTGAGGAAATTACCGAACCTTGAAAGGCAAGTATACTTTATGGTAATTCAATTGTCATCCAATCACAATTCTGTCCTTTGGCAATCAAAAATGATCGAAATATCTTTGAGAAAGTCATCAATGTTCGTCACGATTCTGAGAAAGCCAAACGAGAAGACCAATATCAAGATTATCAAGATTTTCCTAGTTTCCATCACGTTTGCAGAAAGTTTTTTTGCTGTTTTCTTTTCTAACGTCACTCGTCGCTTCATTATAAGCTCACTTCATTCCCGTTATTTGCAGAAACTCATTGTAAACTTTATGCGTGTTCATAAACATATATACTGCCCAGCAGCCAGATCATTTCACTCCCACGTCGATCCTCGGAGGGTTGCAAAATTTTTGCGAAAGGGAAATTCTGTGGGTTGTGCAGAGCGTTTTTCCATGCAAAAAAAAAAAACGAGTCGAGAGAAATCTGAAAACCTGCTGCATAATGCGTCCATATTCTCAGTTGAGTCCCACGAAACTGCTTGAGTATACACCGAGGCTATGCAGTTTAAAATCCCGCGGATCCGAAACGTCTCTGTTTGACTAATCAGCAGAATATCAGCCCTATCGTATCATTTCTTCCTTTCGCTTCCCCTCTCCACTCATTCGTTTCCGTGTCCGCTTTCATGTAGATCTCAGCCCTTTTATTTTTCCGGACGGGATTTTTGTTCCTCTCATATAGAAGAGGCGACGAGTCCGTGCTGCTGTTCGCGAATTTCCGCTGTGCGCGAATTTCCGCGATTATCCAATTCGAGACTTCGTTTGTTTTTTTGGCTAAAAAGTGTTGCAATTGTCTCATTATAATTTTTGCTGAACCATGCACGAAAATCCTGTGTTTAATTTTAGAAGTAGAGCCGCTTTTCTCAGATATTCGCTCTTTTTTTCCGGTTTTAGTACACCGAGGCTTTTTTCTAAGTGCAGGCGCTGATTAAAACTATGATTAGAAATAGTTGTCTATGATGACAGAGATTTCATTAAAATTAGGGGTTTTTGTAGACCTTGACTCCTTGAGTATAGCTCCACGATAGGTAATAGAAACGAAACGCAAATTTATATGGCATTATTGAATAAGAAGGAAACAGCAAAATTCATGGAAATTTTCGAAGAAGAGGCATATGTTAGTATACCCGGAAGTAAAACTCTAGTGGAATTTACTTCGTCTGTAAAATCAACGTATTGAAATTAAATTCTTTGAATGAGTGTGAGAAAATGATTACGGCACGAGAAACACAGTTTCGATTTACAATCGCATCTTGGAATAATTTTTTAGAAATAATTTTGAACCCACCACACGCCTCTGCAATGGCAGTTTCTGGACACGATCCTTGGTTTCGCTTGTTCATCATAAAATTACGGTGATGTGCGTATAAAATTATAAACTGCAACCATGCAATGGGCGACGTACTTACATAATGAAAATGGAACCCGTGTAAACCAACTTTCAATGTGAACATTTTATGATACTTCTCAAACGATCTTCCGATATCCTCAATAAATTGAAAACATTTTTTTGGGCCACAGCACGGCGGCAAAATGCTCTGCTCAGAGCTTTAAAGTGCAAGTCTGAATAACACACGCAAGTTGAATTCTGGTGATGATGAAAAAACTATACGCAATTTTAGAACAGCCAAATCGAGGCAATGTCATAAGTGCAGTGCTTCGAACATGAACTTGAAGTTTGCTTTGTCCATACCCTGATGAAATTTTCTCTGAAATGAATCCGTTCACTCAGTTTCCACGGGAAACTGGGCCAGCAGTAAGAAGGGAAATTAAAGAAACGGAAGAAAGGAAACATTCCGGCTCTCACTTGCACAAGCCCAGAGATTAAATTCCGAGCCGATTTTTATTTCCCTCCTTCCAAGCACACTTAGACCTTGACTCCTTGAGTATAGCTCCACGATAGGTAATAGAAACGAAACGCAAATTTATATGGCATTATTGAATAAGAAGGAAACAGCAAAATTCATGGAAATTTTCGAAGAAGAGGCATATGTTGGTATACCCGGAAGTAAAACTCTAGTGGAATTTACTTCGTCTGTAAAATCAACGTATTGAAATTAAATTCTTTGAACAAGAGTGAGAAAATGATTACGGCACGAGAAACACAGTTTCGATTTATAATCGCATCTTGGAATAATTTTTTAGAAATAATTTTGAACCCACCACACGACTCTACAATTGCAGTTTCTGGACACAATCCTTGGTTTCGCTTGTTCATCGTGAAATTACGTTGTGCGTATACAATTAAAAACTGCAACCATGCAATGGGTGACGTACTTCCGTAATGAAAATGGAACCCGTGAAAACCAACTTTCAATGCGAACATTTTATGATACTTCTGAAACGATCTTCCGATATCCTCAATAAATTGAAAACAGTTTTTTGGGCCACAGCACGGAGGCAAAATGCTCTGCTCAGAGCTTTAAAGTGCAAGTCTGAATAACACACGCAAGTTGAATTCTGGTGATGATGAAAAAACACGCGCAATTTCAGAGCAGCCGAATGGAGGTAATGTCAATTAAGTGCAGTGCTTCGAACATGATCTTGAAGTTTGCTTTGTCCATACCCTGATGAAATTTTCTCTGAAATGAATCCGTTCACTCAGTTTCCACACCTTTGACCCGGTCGTCATTCTTCCCTTTAATTTCTTTGCCTTCTTTCCTTTGTAAGGCCGAGAGTGAACGTGTTCGGCTCTCTAATTTAAGGCTCGGCTAAAAATAAAGGGAGGAAGGTTCGTGTGCTTCTTGTTAGCTTTGCGCGAAATTTCCTTGTTGTCCAGACTTCAATGCTCCTTGTTGTTTGGCCGAGCAGAGCAGAAAGCCAGATATATTCTCGCATTCAGAACATTTATACTACATCTATATATGGTAAGAAGGTTCTATCTGGATCAGTTTCCATCACACGCCTCTAATTTCCTTTTTTTATTCTTTAAAAACACAAGTGCCCAAAGTACGCTATTTTTCTGGGATGAATCCAGATCCCAACCGTTTTCTTCTCGATAAACTGGACGAAGATGTCCAAAAAATGGTTATTTCAGAGTAGTTCTCGAGCTTCGAATCTGCAATAAAAGGCTCCACGCACCGCTTTCAAAATAAAGCAAGCCCTTTGAACGTCTCCTACAGATAACTTTATCGCTAATTATGAATTCACGGCTGAATATTATGCAATCATATCCTTCGATTTCACTTCTGTTGCACGCGTGCCGCGGTTCTCAGGAGAAACTGTTTACGTTACACTCGTATATGGGTTAGGGAGTGAATATTGAAGTGTGTCGTCGTTGAGAAGTGTGAGCGATAACACGTCGATGGGATCTATATTGACAGGCGAAAACCATTGGCCAGAAAAGCGAGAAAATAACATGCCACCGCGCTGGTCTCGGTGGAAACAAATATGCATCGGAATTTTAATAATTTCTTGCGCAGCTGAATTAACTAACGGTCAAGGAACGGAATTCAATCTCGTCGAGACAGAAGATGGCTTTTACGTCAGTGTCAACGGACTCAAAGTGAGCACGATTCTATTTTTATTACAATATTATTTTCGTCGTTTTTTTTTAGTCATTTACTCTCAGTAAAAATATGGGAGAGTCAAGATCCGAGGAGCTGACGTGTTGGGTTATCTGGGTATTACAGAAATGGTTTCATTCACCCAATTTTGAGAATTTATCGCTAATTCTGATTAATGAAAATTTGAGAATATAAAAGAAAGTTCAGGATGATCTACGGACGACACGA